CAAGGAAGAGTCCTAACTCCCCTAGTCAAGAACAGCCTATATAGCTAATATAACTCAGCTGCAATAGGGACTAAAGAAGCAGCTGGCTAACTCTGCTTGGCACTGCCCCCTCTCCTCTTCCTTTCCCACCATTTCTGCTTCATGATCAGAGTTGCAACGTCGTATGTTCCAGTACAATGTTATGGCTTCTCTGGCTAGATAGATCTAGACACCCAAGACTGCTAGAAGCACTGCAAAAACCCAAAAGGTTGTGGTACTGTACAACAGCTGCCCTCCAACAGTCTCCCTGCACTACTTAGGCTGACAGCATGTTTACCCTGATCATGTAGACATTCTGGGCTGAGTGTCAGCGAGCTCATTTATCTCTGCTTGACTCTTCTGGGTAGATACAAAACTGTAAGTGCATGCACCCATAAAGCAGGCAGAATGTCTGAGCTCCGGAGATTCAACTCTCCAGCTTGTTGCATGCTGAGTGGGGAATACACATATAAAATCTGAATCTGGAGCATTACAGATCAGTGGCTCAGAGACCTTGTGACCCAGAGAATCACAATTCCTCCTCTCTCTTTTCCATCTGAAGATATAATTACTGCAGCCTTTGAAGAGGTTGAGCTTAGGAACACGAGACTGAAAGGGACCACTGAAAGGGTGACTACATTCAGTTCCACCCTTATTGCCAGCAACCAAGTGATAGATATCTTGCTCAGGAAGATTGACAGAATGTGTATTCCACATGACACTACAAATACAAAATTTTTCCTATAATCTGTAACAATCAAACTGTAGTAAAATGAAAAAAACATAGCCATAAAATTCACATGCAAACAAGAAAGAAAACCAAAAGCATAACCAGTATTTTAGGCTCCTGCAATAATGGAAAGTTAGATAAAGAAATAAGTTGCAAATGATCCTACAGAGGAAGCCCGTATCACACAGGAAAAGCAAAACAAGATACAACACTTCAGATCTTATCTGGGAATGCAATCCCTTCTGCCCTAATCTTTGATAGTTTAAGGCTAAGCAGGACCCACCCGTTAAGCACTTCAGGATTTCAATTACAATGGCACTGCTTAATCACCTGAACACTTTGCCTGTGTGCAGCCAGTACTTTACTGGAAGACCAAAAATGATGTTAAAAAGCTAATTCACAAGCCATAGAGGAGAGAAAATGATTCTCACTGACTTTAATGGAAACAAAAAAAGGTCCTGAAGCACGGCAGTAAACCTTTATTTCCCAGCTTCAGAAACCGTTCATTCTGTTGTACAATCCCATCAATAAATACAGCAATTGACATCTAAAAATATCTTAGATCCCTTATTCCCTCGTGTGCTTGCTTGGCTTTTGTAGAATTTCACCCCTCATTGCTGCTTAAGAACCTTTTTATAGTGCCTCATCTAAATTTATAGATTACCAGCATGTATCTTCTTCACTTTGTTCTCTTGAAGCATAACACATCCTCTTTCTTGCCTTTGTAACTAACTCCTTGTAATTGGTGGCAAATATCAAAATCCAGAAAATGGATGGCTCTCCCCCCCTACTTGCTTGGCTGTAAGAAGATCCGTATGATTCATTAAAGGGGATATACTCCCTTTTGACTTATGTAATCAATAAAACATGACTTAGATCAGCAGGTTTATGGTATTATTTCATTGCCTTAAGACATGTGCTCATTTTCCCTTTTGCAACCATAAAAACATGAACTGAAACAGTAAAATTCATTTAATTCATATTCTTAGGGTGAAAAGCTCATTTGGTGACATTCAGCACTAGGAGGGGTTTCATTTTCTGAGGGCTTACAGGCTCCACTATAGCAACTGTTGTGAATCTCAGCTGATACCTGAATTAAATTACATTTAACTCTAAGTCATTCTGAGTAATTTGTTACTAGTAGTGGGTTTAACAGCTACTCATGTAAATCATTGTAAAAGCTTTTAAATTACTGGATTTATTCAAGTCTTTAGATTCTTTTTCAATATTAAAACCAAAATGGATTATAATCTGTTTATCCTCTTTGCCGAGGCGCCTGCAGAACAAGAAAAATAAAGTCAGTCATTTCTGTGTGAAACACATAGCGCATGATGCTCCTATCAATGGTATAAAAATATGTAAGTGAATCCATGTTTCGAGCACAATATGAAGTAGTGAAATAGGAAACTGCAATTTTTGAGTCGAGTGTATTACCTAAGAAAACACTTAAGCATCTTCTGGAGCTTTTACTCTCCAGGAAAAGAACTTAGCATGTAACTTTCAGTGATGCGGAAAAGGTTATAGCTTCAAGGTAAAGAAAACTCAAACAAACATATAAAGGTTAAAAAAAAGTTATGAGGACTGTGTATGTAAAACATTGTGTTGCATACTTAATAACCCCATGGATACGCACCTGAGTATTTGCACCTTATCTCACAGGCAAGAACAATAAAAACAAAGTTATTTTAACATATTATTACAAAGCCAGAGAAAATAGACTTCTTTGGGGTAAGAAGGGCTACCTATAGACAGCTAATTTACAGTTGTTCAAAAACCTAGACATCCAGCATGTGTATGTACCATGTAACACCATAAAATTTAGAACTCGGCAAAGATTTATTCATCTGCTTTGGTATGTGCTCAGATAGCAGGTTAAATTAATTAAAAAACGTACATGAAGTTAACTGTGTTCTTCAGACTTTGCAGGATTCAAGTCTACTTGCATGATTACATCTCAGTAACCCAAGATCACCCTTCTCAATAAGCAGACATCAGGTTCATAGGCATATAGTTAACTACTGGTTTTCATGGTTACTGTACCTCCACCACAGTATGCTTCCCACAACTCAAAAGTTATTAAAATAAAGTCCTCATCATTTGAAACAGGCTTAAAATAAATAATTTAAAAAAAAGTAGCAAATAAAAAAAAAATCAATTGCACAATTCTCAATCTCAACTTTTCCCTCCTTCTTAAAAAAAACCCACCCAAATACTACTGCTGAGATGTTTGAGACAAATATTTAAGACAGGTCGAATAAAACTTAGATCAGCATTTTCATTTACTTGTGCATCTAGAAAACTATGGCCCACCATGAATTAAAAGTTCTGCTTGGACTTTCATCCCATTTAATTCTGTTAGTAAGAAGACTTAGTCATGCTGAATAAACCTAAACATTTGTCTATATTGGGAAGATTTTCCTCTGTTTGAATGTAGCTTTGAAGCATCAAGTAAGCTAACATTACACTGATTATCACTGATAAGCCAGAGCAGAGCAAAGCAAATTGAGGTCATCAGCATGTCAGGTAACCTGACTGTCTTGAAATGTGCACAGTAAGATTTGTAACACAGACCACTTAACCCTAAGAAGGTTCATCTGGTGTATTATGCTTTAATTTTGTGGGTTTTTTTCATAAAGGTTGTCTTTAGGATTTATTTCCACTTTAAATACTCCAAAGTTTTGCATAAGCCTTATGTTTTCTGAGATGAACTGGTGGTTTACACGCTAAAAAGAGTAAGTATCTCCCCGTTTGAGGAGGGTGGAGGAGGTGGAGTTGTGATCAAAATACTTACGCTTTTCTCTAATTAGAACAATGAATCAAGATACCTGACTGATGTAGCTTTTTCTTGTTAACAAGTACAGGTGTCACTATGCCAGCAAATACAATTAAAGACGGATTTTTTTAGAATATTTGATAATTAGAAAGTGGATAAATCCACCTCAGGTACAACTGCCGTACAACCTCATTACTCACCCTCTTGAAATTTTTGCCACAACAGAATACACTCTTACAGCAGAAACACATTCTTTCTTAGAACAGCAGAATATTACTATTATAAATATTGAAATTAAAATAATGATTTTTTTTTTCCCTTTTAACAGATTAACACTTTTTTCGACATACTGTGTTTAGGATTTGACCTTTCTTTTGATTCTAGCTATGCTCCCACCTAAGTGAACTACTACGGAAACTAACACATTTTCTGTCTGAAGCAAAGTTGGAACATTGACTTGTTGCACAATGTTTACTGCAGAAACAAAACAGCTGTGGGCATTCTTAACACTCACATTGTAACGTTACAAGGAAAAATTTGATCTGGAAGCACAGGACCCATTTTTTTAAATCTATGCAAGAGCTAACAGATGCATGTCATGACCACACATGACGTTTTTAAAAGACATTTAAGGCACTGCGCACAGTCTTTTTCCTAACCTCCACAGGCAGAGCCTAAGCAGCATTATCAAACATAATTATTAAAAAATGCGACGTTAAAAAAAAACACATTTTCTGTCTGAAGCAAAGTTGGAACATTGACTTGTTGCACAATGTTTACTGCAGAAACAAAACAGCTGTGGGCATTCTTAACACTCACATTGTAACGTTACAAGGAAAAATTTGATCTGGAAGCACAGGACCCATTTTTTTAAATCTATGCAAGAGCTAACAGATGCATGTCATGACCACACATGACGTTTTTAAAAGACATTTAAGGCACTGCGCACAGTCTTTTTCCTAACCTCCACAGGCAGAGCCTAAGCAGCATTATCAAACATAATTATTAAAAAATGCGACAAGTTAAAAAAAAAAAAACAGAAAACCAACCCAAAAGTCAAAAAACTTTGTTTGAAAGTCAAGTTTTATTACTAAAAAGGTAAAGGCCAAGGATGTTTTATTTGTCTTCTTATTTCCAAGATAGGAGGAGGTATGAGGACTTTGTATTTCTCACAAATGTAGGGTGAGGGTTCTTGTAAGGGATAGGTTTTGAGGGTAGGCGAGATGCGTAGGGGGACTAAATTAAAAATCAAATATGACTGTACGACAGCTACAGTTAGGGCTTTAAAAACCACCACTAACTTGCTAAAATAGTGAAGTATTGCCAATTCAAATGAAGGTACCGTCAGAAAAAAAACGAATTGCTGAGAGGCCTACCTACAGACAAAAGAGACAGGACTTCCCTTATGCAAAGCCGCAGCTAACCACTGCCTTCACACAGAGCTGCAAAGCGGCAGCAATCTTCAAGCCCGTATGTCACCTTGGGAGCCTGATACAGCTCTTTTCATGTCTGCTTCTGCAACTTGTATGTCAACGATCTTGATGCCCAACGGCGAGTTACCTGCATGAAAAAATAAGAAAGGGAAGACTGATGAGGAACGTTACCTCCTTCCCTCACAACTGCCCAGTCAAAATCGGATGGCGTGTCCGCGCAGGAAGATTTTGCTTCGTCTCAAGAACACTGGCTTGTTTCTTGAACTTGACAATTTCTTGAACGTTTCAGAAAAAACCAACCCACCCATAACAATTAACTATTCCCGCACTCAGCAACCCTTGAGAGATGGGTTCACACACCATTACTTTACTCTTTCCTCACGGTTTTACACAGATTTGCGCCTGTTTATGGCTCAAATTACGATCCAGCAGTAACACTACCCTTGCAAATCTCTACATAGGCACGCAAAAGCTTTGCGAGGAAACGCTGTCTAAACCGTCAAAACGCAAGCAACTCCCCAGTCTCTCCCGTAAGCAGTACCAAGCGGGATTCAAAAAGGAAAGTCCTCCACGAGAAGAGCCCCGCTAAGAGAAGTGGACTTCGTTTTAAAAAAAGAACGACAAGCCGACCAACCAACAAACGCTCCTCCGCCCCGCGGGC